TTTTAGTTTAGTTATCTTCTAATGTTTTTTTATTAGATTCTTACTAATACCAGGACCTTAAACAGCAGGAATAAATATTTGTATCTGTAATGTGATCTTCATAAGAAGTCAAGAAGAAGAAGTTCACGGCTGAAGAGCTTCGTGCCATCATGGACAAAAAGAACAACATTATGGAAAGAGAAAGGTCTCAGTTGTATCCAGACGTCCAGACTCAGCCACCTATTGAGACAAATCTTCCCTTTATTCCTCAGCCAGGTTTGTTTTCTCGGCATTACCAATGTTCTCACCACGAATTTCTTTTAGTTTTCTATACTGTAGTTGTTATTTGTGTGGGACAATCATGTGTCTTCCACAGTTCTTTTTTCTGGGAATAGATCTATTTTAGGTGTCACCACAATTACACTGCAGTCATTATCTGATTAGGGTACTTTATGTTAAACTTAACATCTTTGTTTACATGTACCTATCAACCTCATATTTTTCTTATATAACCTGATTCCTTTTCTTTTGGTCATGTTTCAATGTTGCTGACTAAAATAACATTACTTTATCTGTTGTTCTAGTAGTGAAAAATGCATTGCCATAATGTGGTGTCTATTTGGATAATCCTAGCAATCAATTTGTTACTGTTCCACGGTATATCTTGGTTGTTCCACAAGATTAAATTTTTAGTTCGGTCTATATGAAATGTTTGTGTGTAACACAGAGCCTTTGTGATTTTTGCATTTGCAGGTTTGGCAAGCAGATCATGTATGTATCCCGGAAGGTACGAGCAGACACAAGAAACCGAGTCAAAGGCAGATTTGCAAAGGCGTCTACTAGCGGCAGTGGCGGCCATGGTGACGATTATCTGTCAACACAGCATGGCCATGGCCATGGCAATGGAAACGGCGATGATCACCCTACACATTCCTAGCTAAGCTAGGTTCCGGTCTTCAGTTTGCTTGGTGCATTCATATGCAGTGTATCCAGTCAATTCTTTTTACCCCAGTGAGATAATAATTGTAGATGAGAGTTTCTTTTTTTTTCTCGAGCGGCATTTTTTTGTATCAGTTTAAAAATCTTGCATTTTGACTGGATTAGCCCCTTGGGCAATATTCTTTCAATTTGGTTTTTGCCAGGATTGTTCATAACAGTGCAACATCTTTTTATTGAGGATGATGGAAACAGAAAGCATGTTTTTTAGCCAATTCTTATATATTTTTTGAAGGAACATGAGGGGTCGAAACCCCTACTGAGAAGCCAATTCTTATGTTTGAGCCGAACTATGGCAGGTTGTCCTGGCCTCATCTTTTATACAGAGTAAATTGTACTGCTGATTCTCCTATAACAAAGAAAAAATTTGTATACGTATTTCTGACTCCGCCACTGCATGCATGCCAGAAACAACTTTATAGGGAGTCAGTACACATCTTTCGGTTGATTTTGTCTCAATTTGTCAATCAGTTTTGTGTCCAATCATTTCATGACACGTACATTTTGAAACCGGATCAGAATCTGGTAGATAAAGGGAAAAGAATTTACCCAGAATTTACAGTGGCATAAAACAATAGAAAGTGATTGAAATTCCAACGAAGATCACCCAGATCTTATCGAATTGGCAACCTCCTGCTCATGTGCATGTAGCTGTAGATACGAGGAGGTACAATTACCTTCACTGATTTAGTCCTGCGAGATGCTTCAAAATTTGAGGTCATATCAACAACTACTGTGTTGATAACCAAAAATTAGAACCCTGAAAAAAATACAAGCCAATTTAATGATCCTTTGAATTTGCAGACATCAATGTTCACAACAAGTAGATTTGAAGAGAATGAGCAAACTGAAAACATTGGAGATTGCATTATTACACAAATAACAACAGACATTGCAGAAGCAGGAAATGAGACCAACTACAAGGGAAAAAACTGAAGAGGGGAATGGAGACCTTAAAATCGAAACAGAGTTTCTAATGAACTCAATCAACTGAAACTAAAGGAAACCTTAAAACAGAAACAGAGTTTCTAATTAACTCAAACAACTGAAACTATAACGAAAACATTAAAACAAGTCACAAAAAAAAACAATAAAACTGAAAAAGAGTTTCGAAAAATCAGATAACTGAAACTGGAAAATGACACGTCATACAGTTACAACTTACAAAAAGCTACAAAACTAAAAAAATTAACAATGTGCGCTGAAATTCTGAAATGGCTTAAACTAAAATAAATTAAAAAGAATAAATTGAATAAAAGGATATTGCTCAATATAAAAAATAACAATATATACTGAAAACTAAAACTAATGAAAATACTAAAAGGAAATAATAATGAACTTACCTAATAATCAGAGTGCAGACATGTAATCTTTATATAGGCAGTGTGCAAGTCGACTTAGACCACTTTTTTTTTTTCGAGCAACATTTTTTACATCTGGCATTTTGACGGGATTAGCCCCTAGGGCAGTATTCTTTCTATTTGATTTGGCCAGGATTGTTCGTAATAGTGTGACATCTGTTATATTGAGGATGATGGAAACAGAGAGCATGCTTTTTTAAGCCACTTCTTATACGATGTTTTTCAGCCGAAGAACTTCCGTACATTATTTGGATGTACAGTACTACTCTTCATGTACAGGGCGTGCCACGAACTACTTGATGATTGGGTGTTTTTTTTCAAAAACCTGGCAGGAGCTCTGCCTCTCAATTAAGGAAGGAAAGAAATTTATATGTCCAGGAAAGTCCGGAAGACCGGAAAGCCCCACTGGGCACACACAGAAAAAAGGAAGACACCCAGCACGTCCCCCACGAACTACTTGATGATTGGGTGTTTTTCTTTCGCCGATTTACAGAGTTTATTATTCTCGACTAGGTTAATTTGTTATTACTCAACGTATGCACTCCTGAAAATGAAGTTTCGCTCTAAAATATGGCCTCTCAATTTTTTTTGTTTTCCATTGCTGGGAAAGCTAAGATTGATATATTGTTGAGAATGGCACAGGGGCTCTTATGTTTTTACCCTTGTTTTGAAAATTTAATTGTGATTTCACCCTCATTCATTTGACTTTGTGATTTGTCACTGTTTTTTCAAAATGAAACCAGATTTTACCTCTATTCTATTTATAGGAGTTAATGGTGTCAGTTTAGCTAAAAAAAGACAAGTGATTCCAACTCTTTTTTTAAATCAAATATTTTGAGAGCATTTCAAAAGGATTTTTATAGAAAAATTTGTAAATATTTCAAATCTATAAGCAAAGTTTAATAAGGTGCACATACTTAATAAACCATCGGCGAAACCTAGAGAGTTAGGATAACATCAAGGGTTAGTATTGTCTTTTATTTTTCTATTCCTTAATTCATTTACATTGCTATCAGCTAACAAGTCTTAGAACAAGGGCATACAGGGGTTTCGGATCCAAACAAACATGGGTACAATCATAAGTTAAAAAATTGAGAGTGAAATCACAATTGACGACCTTCAAAGCGGGAGTAAGAACACCAATCTCCCTTTCATATATTAGTATATCCTGTCTTTTAGAGGAGATAATAACTGCCTTTTAGGAAGCAAACAAATATTTTTAGATTTACACGCTGGGGAGACAAGGTTACAAGCAAGACAAATGACCCAAGTTAGGGATGTTTGGATCCAGGGACAAAAGTTTAATCTCCGTCACATCGAACGTTCGGATGCCAGTCCTTGTCATATTGGACGTTCGGATGCTAGTTAGGAGAACTAAGCATGAGCTAATTATAAAACTAATTGTTCAGATGGAGACTAATTTACGAAACGAATCTATTAAGACTAATTAATCCATCATTAGCACATGTTTACTGTAGCGCCACATTAACAAACGTGAACAAATTAGGCTTAATAGATTCGTCTCGCAAATTAGTCTCCATTAGCGCAATTAGTTCTATAATTAGTCTATGTTTAATACTCTAAATTAATGTCCAAACATCCGATGTCAGGAACCAAACGGTTAAGTAGTCCAGCTAAGTTGTTGGGTAGACTTCCCATAAATTCGGTTCTAGCAGAAGTACGAAAACTTTGCCGGTCAAACGCCTCTCTAGGGATGCCCCATGCAAACACAGCTAAGTCTATGATGAGGAACTCCTGGAATGCAATAAAATCTTCCGTTTCAAAAAAAAAACTATGATGAAGCCGAAGCAAGACCAATTGTGACTTTACTTTTTAGCTGCCTTCCAAAAAAGTACTGTATACCTGCAACTGCCTTTTGCTACTCTTATCTAAGTGGAAATACAGCCTGCCGTTGGTACCTTGATCAAGAGATCCCAGACACTTACATTTGCTCAATCAGAAAAATGTTGCCACTGATATTTCACTTGAAGGTTAGCGTATAGAACTACAATGTACAGCAGAATAAGTGTCGGAGGAATCTATGCAGCTATAACAGTCACCTGTGACAGAACGCAAAACTCTTATCTGAGATCGACAGCATTGATCCATACAAGTTCTCGGTAAGCTACGATAAGCTGAAGTCATCAATCTCTACAAATACAACAGTGCTTTCTAAATAAGGAGAAAAATGAACTGTTATTCTACAAGAAGCTGGGTATCAGTGCACAGTTACAATAAGCTATTTAGCACCAAACCATGTCTTCAAATCTACAAGAAATAGTGTTCCCACAAGATGCTGGTATTATTGTCACAACTTTGTCTACATTAAGTACTCCTAAAACATAACACAAAATTTTAGTTTACTACTCTCTTTGTTCTAAATTATAAGATGCTTTGGCTTTTCTAAAGACATTAACCTTACTATGTATTTAGGTGCATAGCAAAAGCTATGTATTTAAAAAAATCAAAACACCTTATAATTTGGAACGGAGGAAGTATAAAATAACAGGTATATAAGCTGGCATTCATTTCCGGTGACGGAATAGCACAGGATGAATTCTTATGCTTCGATACTATTGCATAGCGTTTCGCCGCTAAAACAGAAGTAAGTAGATTTATTACGAACCAACACAACATCCCTAGGTCGTTGTACCTATGCAGTACTCAGATGATTTGTTTGTCTTTGAGTTCGTTGTACGTGGCTCGAAGCATATTTAAGCTTATGACTTGAAGATCCTCGAGCAGCTCGTTTACAGCTGCCTGGTCGGGCCCGGTGTCCACCTCGCCGTCAAACTCCTGTAGTAAGCCACTGGTGAAAACAGTGTCATTCTCCTCATGGGTCTCACCAGCTACTTCATCACTCTCGTCAGTAGAGACAATTTCCTCGGCAGAGTCATCATCATTCAAAGCCCATTCCTCATCTTCATCAAGGTCGTCGTCTTCACAAGTCTCGTATGTCAGCTTAGCTTGCGGCATCTTAGAAGCAGCCCTTTCTTTCACTTCAGTGATGTCATCTTCTCCTGACAATGGTGTATCAGAATACACAACTAGTATGCATCAGAATACACAACTAGTAAAAGGTTTCCATGAGCACACACCACAAATTAGCAAGCAATGATTCAATGAATTTTGGAATGCAACTATTCAGAACTATAGATAGGTCATGGAACTAATGGTAGGGTTCTGGTTCGTAGGCTAAGAAGAAATGGATGCTCCTGATTGATACAGCATGGAACTAATGGTTGTCATAACAAGGAAAACAGCATCAAAGGTTGCCCCTTCTCCCCCAAGGATCCCTCCAAAGCAATGGAACAGTAGAAACAAGTTGATCCTGGAAGTGAAAACCCCTCACCTTTTGGTTCCTGATCCAAAGCCTTCTGCGTTGCCGTTCTCTGGCTCCTCCGAAGAATGGCTGGAACTGGGTTCGACACCACCACCTCCGTCTTACGCGACAAGGACCTCCTCGCAGTCAAGCGTGTTGTGACTGTGGGTGCTGGCACCAAAATTGGAATGGGCGCCATCTCGTAGTTTATCCGGTCAACCTGATTGACAACCAAAACCCTCCACGTTAATGATCATCACAACCAACCCCAATAGGCGTCAGAAACGCACAGGAGCGATCCCACAATTAAATGTGGGGAAAATTGTAAACGCAAACCAATTCATCAAAAAGGGAATCAGGACTCACCAAATCTAGGCTCTCCAGCGCCTCAGCCATGGCGGCGTTGGTCATGTTGGCCCAAATGTCGTTGCGCTTGCACAGTACCTGGAGCTCACGCCATGATAGTGTGTGGAAGTCCATACCTGCAAAGATGAAGAAGAAGAAAAGGTGTTATCCCGGTGACATGCAAATAAGGAGTTAGCAGAGCAAGTTCTGATCTGAAGCAGCTCGTGTTGAAGTTTTTGGTCCAGTAATCAGTAAGGCTAACAGTGGAGCAAACATTTAATCGGTTGACAAGATGTTATGTTCAGCAATATTGTAAGGTCAAACAATGCAACAGCTATTCACAGTGAAACCCATAAGTCCAGCAAGCAAAACTTGGGTGGTATGACAGCATAAAGGATACCAGATTCCCAAGTAAAATCATGCACTAACGCAATAGCATGTTGTCATGGTTCTGATGTTTATCATCCTATAACCAATTCCCAAATTTTCTAGATGATTAACAGAATCGATTTCTTCTGAAAACCAACATAACAAAAGCAACTCCAGGAAATCTGGTCCGCAAAACACAGAGACGTACTTTCACAATATATATATTTCTTTATCTTTATATAATAATTAATATATGAATTGGACCCATCAGGGGGCAACTAGGATTGATAAAGCAGACCATGGGTGTGCGGGTTCCATTAGTAGAGCATACACACAGCATAATACCAATCCGCAGGCCGCAGCAAAACAATACAAACATGCAACTAACTCGACTGATGCAGACAATAAAAACAGGATTCGAAACCGCAGCACACGAAACGAACCAAGCTAGGGTTTAGCCACCGAGGAACGAACACACGACCGCAGCAGAGAAATGAGAGATGCGGTGGTGGGAAGCAGATCGAAAGAACCACATTCAGTGGGGAAGGTGCTGTCGGATAAGATGGTTAGGGCTGAGGCATTGGAGGCAGCTCTAGGGAGGATTTGGGGCGTGTTTGGTTCAGACCCTGGAGCAAACTTGCCTGTGACATGTTTGGTTGGTGTCCTGAGTACGTGACTGGGCCAGGCATCCGCTCGCTGGACACAGATCGTGTGCAGTGGCTATTCACACAGCAAGATATGCAGTGGCCATATCTGAGCTATTCATCCGACCAGAAGCGGTTGGGATGGGATTCTACTTTTTCATTCCCCGGGCGTTCTTGAAGGGAAACTCCAGAGCTTTGGCGCCATATATCCAGAAGAGCGAGGCGGCGGGGCCGTCCGGCGGTGGGCGAGAGCAGGGAGGCCGGCGAGCTGCCGCGCCATGAAACGCCTAGGACCTCTCCTCGCAGCTAGTGGAGGCGATGCTACTCCTCATGTGCCTGTAGAAGCTGCCGTCCTCCAACGTCGTCATCCCATCGCTCCAGGAGGCATCACGGCGTCCGCGCCAACACCGAGCAAGGCGTGCGCATCGAAGAAGGCCAGCGCCACGCGCCTTCCCCATGCCCCCGTGCAACCTCCCATGGCGCAAAGCATTCCAGCAAGCACCCAAGCAGCTGAAGAAGATGGTGCCATGGATGACGCCCAACAGGTGCTCGAGGAATCGCCTACAAGGTTGTGCTAATCCTTGTTCCAAATCTAACTAATCAGTTCCTGCATAGTTGGATTAAATTTGTTGAAATGTCTTAAGAATGTTAGGTTAGGGAAACACAATATTTTGTCTGGTTGGTTCTCGTGACACAATATTTATAACTACAGGGTGGCTGCAACTCCTTTCTGGATTCCTAAAATAAGTATGAGATTTAGCAGTGTTGATGAGGCTTGGAACTTCTGGGTCACATATGGTGGTAGGATGGGGTTTGATGTTCGGAAGTGCTATGCAAACAAGAGTGGTCTTGATGGATTAGTAACAACATGTAGGTTTGTTTGCTCAAATCAAGGTTCTCGGGTGAAGATAAGAAGTTCTCGGTTTGCTGCAAAGCGTAATAGAGGGGCGCAGAACAAGAACAGTTGCATGGTTCGTATGGGCATTACTTTAGAAAGAGGAAATGGGACTTACAAAGTACATGACTTATTTGTTGAGCACAACCACATTCTCGCAGATCGCACAAACAAGTCATCCGATGCCATCACAGAGAAACATTTCTAAGCATCAGGCTATTGATATTGATGTGGCTGATGATTCTGGAATTGCACCTAAAGTAGCACATGAGTTTCTTGGTAGATATGTTGGTGGATCAGGTAACCTCGGATACACTCATCGTGATCATAAAAATTATTTGCGAACCAAGCGCCAAAGAGAGATGATGTATGGTGAGGCTGGAAGTTTGATAAAGTATTTTCAAGATAAATCTGTGGAGAATCCTTCCTTTCAATATGCCATTCAAATGGATTGTGAAGAACAAATAACCAATATATTTTGGGCTGATGCAAAGATGATTGTCGACTATGCGCACTTTGGCGATGTCATCACATTTGACACTACCTTTGGAACCAACAAAGAATATAGGCCATTTGGTGTGTTTGTAGGCTTCAACCAATTTAGAGAGACAGTGGTATTTGGTGCTGCTCTTATGTATGATGAGACATTCGAGTCATTCAAGTGGTTATTCAATGCATTTTTGTCAATCCATAATAAAAAACAGCCTCAAACAATTTTTACTGATCAAGATAGTGCAATGGGAAAGGCGGTGTCCAATGTCTTCACTAGTACATGGCATGGTTTATGTACCTGGCATATATCGCAAAATGCATTAAAGCACTTGTGCTCTCAGAATGAAGAAGAGTCTGAGATTGAAGAAGAGTCAAGTATCTTGTTAGATTTCAGTGCTTGCATGTATCAGTATGAAAAAAAGGCAGAATTTGAAGAAGCTTTTGATGCTATGAAAGGAAAAGTAAGCAAATCGACCTGGCTAGACATCATTTACATGTTGAGACACAAGTGGGCTGAATGCTACATGTTGGATGTTTTTTCAATAGGAATGCGAAGTACGCAACTAAGCGAGAGCTTGAATAATGCATTGAAAGTGCATTTGAAATCAGATCTTGACATCGTTAGGTTTCTAAAGCGTGTGGAGCATGTTGTTGAAGACAAGAGAGAGAGGGAGTTACAAGCTTCTTGCACAGAGCAGACACAAGCTTCTCTCTTTAGCCAAAAAAAAATCAAATGGCCATATCCTTTTGATGTGAAATTATTTATATGGACATATCAATAAAAAAGTACTTATTGCACATATATGAGTTCGAACAAAATTAAACACAGAGAGTTGTCATTACAAATATTTAATCTTAATAATTTTACTAATAGACAAAAATCATTTATTTGGTAAACACAGTGTTAATAGCGTTCCATAATCATGTATAGACGATGCAAACGTGATTTATCTTCTCATCAGCATTTCCAGGCACAGGCTTCAAACCAAACACACTTGCCTCACCAGGCAAAAAGCATCAACTTTTCAGGCAAGTCTCAGGCAACATTTTTTGTCAGGCAAACTAGCCAGGACACCAACCAAACAGGCCCTTGGTGTCCTCGAGGTGGACTGCGATGGGAGATCTGATTATGTTGGTGGACTACGGTGGAAAGAGGAAGGTCATGGCGAAGACGGTCAGTCTACACAGCATGGCCAGGGCGATGGTCATGGGAGATGATCAGCCTACACATTCTTAGCTATCTAGGTTCCACTAGTCTTTAGTTTGCTTGGTTCATACATATACATTGCTAGGATTATAGGCTTCAGTTTGTGTGTCCAAGTCAATTCTTTTCACCCCAGTTTTTTTTTTCCGAGCTGCATTTTTGGTAGCATTTTTTACATCTGGCATTTTGACGGGATTAGCCCCTTGGGCAGTATTCTTTCTATTTGGTTTTGCCAGGATTGTTCACAACATCCCGTGGCATTTGTTATATTGAGGATGATGGAAACAGAGAGCATGCTTTTTTTAAGCCAATTCTTATAGTGTGACATCTGTTATATTGAGGATGATGGAAACAGAGAGCATGCTTTTTTTAAGCCAATTCTTATACGTTGTTTTTCAGCTGAACTACGGCAACTTCTGTACATCATTTGGATGCAAGTACAGCTGTCCAGATCACTCCTATGCATGTACAGGGCGTGCCACAAACTACTTGACGATTGGGTGTTTTTCTTTCACCGATTTAAGAGTTAAGTGAGAAGTTCTCACTGCCACACGCATGGAACTGCTTCTTCTTCCGGGAAGCTATGGGCACCTCACGATCCTGAGACGACATTAGTGGAAGCGGACATTCGTAGCATTCATTGTCACCGATCATTGAAAAAAGAAGCCGTACAAAAACTTAAGGAATCTTTAGATTTGGCGGCTCAGCTGATCACACAACCCATACATAACTCCTGTTTAGAAACCTGTGCTTGCCAGCTTATCCTTTTTAGAAATATGCATATTCCTTTCCCTAAGCAAGGTATAGTATAGAGGTAGTCACTCATTGCCAGAACAGAGCAGCTCAGTCCATGCCCTGGGCGTTCGGGTTAGAAATTCGGGTAATGAAAACGTTACCCGAATTTAGCCCCAGAAAACCATTACCTGAGGTATTCCTGAACTACCCGATATTCAGAAAAAAAAAAACAGCATATGTACAGAAATCCAGCAGCATTCAGCTAATCAGTTTTCTTTCCAAGTTTCCAGCATTTCATAGAGAAAAATGTATAAGCAAAGCTTCAGCTAGCAAATACTAACACTACCAGATAGCATAAGACTAGTTGGCCAGCTGGGTACCGTCGGCGTCGTGGACTGGTGGTGCGCCGGTGCTGAGGCCGGCCGCCAGGGCGTCGGCGGCGTCGGGGCGTCGGGGCTCGGCCGCGCCCGCGCGGGGCAGCGTCTCGGCGTCTCTGCGACCCGGGCACCGGCGGTCGCTAACGCGCAAGCGGCTAGGGGTAACGACTGCGTGCCCGTGCCGAGTTGGACTGAAAACGGATCTCGTTACGTTTTCTGATCGTCACTCCCGAGTCGATAGAGGAGTAAAAAAAAAAAGAGAAATTTTGTTAGAGAATCTACTATTTATATAAAATAATAAAGTCGCATTGCCCAAGCAGTTTAATTGACGACTCTTATTGAAAATATTTTTTCTCCTACTACTCAGTGAACACTTATTAAAATTTTAATAAGCTTCTAGCCATACTAAAATGTTTAATAAGTGGACATTTACATTTATTTGATATGGTTAGAAGCTTGTTACCCACCATATTCTTTAAATTAAATATAATAAATACAATAATGAGCCAAGGACAAGTTTACGTTAGACGTTTAGTTGCTTCACTTACTTACAGAATTTCTAAGAGTACCTAAAATTTTCTTCCCAAAACTATTGAGTTTTCTAAGTGGCCAAAAAATATTGGGAGCCCAAAGAAAGGTTTCTCCAATAGTTTCTTTTAGAAGGTAATATTTCTAAATCACCTCAACCACTTTTATATTTTTTTCTCTATTATACATTTGCATCAGGAACCCTATCCTACTTATTCTTTCCCGCATCCTTACCTAGATTGGTGTGATGGATACACACATAATCATTCGCATGACAGGGTCGATTTTTTTCGAGTGCCAAAAAATTAGGAGTTATTGGGAGATTGTTTTGGAAACTCTTGGAGATGCTCTTAGAACCTCCTTACCCACCATGTCCTTTAATAAAATATAATAAATACAATAATGAGCCAAGGATAATATTACATTAGGCGATAGGTGCTCCATCTAGAGCTTAAGCGAACCCACGCATTTTAAGAACAAGCAACAGAACAGAATAGTGGACTTAGATTAGATAAAAAGGCTCGTCGATTAGTCCAACCCACCTTACCCGCTCCAACCTTATTCATCAGCCTCCTCTGTCCTCCGCTCCATCGCCTCTCGCTCCTCAAGGCAGTGCTCGTCGCCCACCGCCTATGCATACTCGCACCCTGGCCCATCGCCTCTGTCGGCCTCGCCTTTGTCAGCCCTTCTCTCCGCCTTCGCCCATCGTCAACCATGCCCACCGCTAGCCTCATCCTCGCACTTGCGTCGTTATCCCTCTGTGAGGCAGCGCAACTTTAGATCTCCCTTCGCCTAGCCTAATAGAGCCTCGTGGAACATTGGCCAAGGATATAGGCGGGATGTGAAATACTCAATCCATCCCAAATTGTAAGACGTTTGACTTTTTTGACACCAAGTTTAACCACTCGTCTTATTCAAAAATTTGTGTAAAATATCACTTCTTTCGTCGTGGTTTGGTTTATTAATAAAAATTCTTCAAGAATGACTTAAATTTGACTATATTTGCACAAATTTTTTTGAATAAGACGAGTGGTCAAACTTGGAGTCAAAAAAGTCAAACGTCTTACAATTTGGGATAGAGGGAGTAATATAATAACAATACATTGATGTAAATATGGTGTAAATATGATATATAATTACAAATAGCATCTGTAAGATCCTCTCGTGTCCACTGTTGGTAGGCCTAGATAAGATTATCCTCAAGCAGTACCTTTGCCATTCCTGAAGCAACGGAAATGTAAGTAGTTTTTAGACTGTTCCGAGGAGCAACAGGAAACACTAGAAAGAGCTAGAGTAAATTCTATCAAATGCACTGCCTACATCCAGAACCAGCAGCAAAAACATCACAGTTTGCAAGAAAAGAAACAAAACATGAGCTCCGCTTCATGCGCCATTTCTTGGTAATCTCCTAATCGTCATCCCCATCTTGGTCATCCTCCTGTGGAATAGCACATGGATGGCATAAGATCTCAATAGGATTCTTTAACAACTTGCCACCAAAACAAGTCTTGTCACGGGCTTTCCAAATGGCCCAGCAAATTGCTGCAATGCCAAGTGCATAAAACTTTCTGCCCCCTGGCAACCATTTCTCACACCCAATAGCAACTACCGACCAAATAATTGAAAACAGGTATAAAGCAATGGGTACCAGTTTCACAAATAGGACAAAAATAAAAGGCAGGATCACCTTTCCATTGTCTTCTTAACATGTTGTCTTTTGTTAGAATAGCATTATTTTCAATTAGCCACAAGAAAAATCTTAATTTTTGCAGGAAGCTTGCTTTTCCATATGTTTTTGAAAGATTGGCCACTCTCATTGAGAGTCAAGTGGATTTAACAGAAAATTTTTCAGCTTTCCCTGATTTCCAGCCCACACAATCCTCACTGTCTACTAATTTGATGTTGTTAGTGTCTTCCAAAATTTTCAACCACTCATTGTTTAGTTCCTCAGTTAGCCTCTGGTGAAAGTGGGTTGGACACCCGCAACTATCACTTCATTGATTGTTTAGTTCCTCAGTTAGCCATCTGGTGAAAGTGGGTTGGACATCCCCAACCATCACTTGGTGAACATAGGCATCTTTCTGTTCACACAATTTGAAAAGAGTAGGACACAAGGATTTGTCATATAGCCAAGCATCTTTCCAGAAAAATGGATTTACCAATTTTCACTTTGACTGTTCTTCCTTGCAAGTAAATGTATCTTATCTTTAATAAATTGGCCCAAATAGTGCAGATGGACTCCCCCTTTAGATAATTAGATTTTATGATGGTTTGCCATAGTCAGATTCATTTTCTAGCTTCCACCACCACTTGCATAAAAGAGTTCATTCCTGACGTCTTTGATGCCTAGACCACCTTTCTTTTTCCTCTTGCACACAACAGTCCACCTAACTAGGTGATACTTTCTTTTTGTTTTGCCCCCTTGCTGAACATTTGTTATACTTAACCCCGAATGTATTCTAGGGGTCTACATATCATTTGTTATACTTAACCCCCAATCTACCCCTTGGACTAGTTTTTTCTCTCTATCCATCATATCTCTATCCAGGTTGGGCATTTGTTTTTGTAAGCAGCTTGGTAAACTAAATTAAAATCCCCTGCTAATAACTGACCTGCAAAGTGTGTCCTAACATCTCTAAGTTCTTGCAGGAACAAAGGTTTATCTTCATGTGCCCAAGAACTCCTCTAGTACCATTAGCCGGTAAAGCAACATAATTATCATATGCAGAACCAAACACAGAGAGGAAAATGTGTTGACTTATGTTAGCGACCTTAGTTTCTTGCAAGAAAACAATGTTGTCTGCATTGGCTGAAAGGATAAATCCCTCAAGTGCAATCCAAATCAGGATTGAGGATGGATTCATTTAGGAAGGGTAGAGAACAACCAAAAAAAAAAGGAAAGCTCAGAAACCAAACAGAGTCTGAGCGGATCTGCTCACTGTCATCGGCTTTTCACGGGATAGTTTTGCAACCTAGTTTTGATTGACATGGGCAGTAATACTTGTTTATGGCCTGGCACATCATCTTTCTTCCTATCCAGCTGTCCCACCCAGTTTCATCCATTTCAGCATAAAATTGGAGCTAGCAAATACTGACACAGCAGAACCAGCCGGAGACCAAGCACTACAGGCTCGGATCTTTCCCAGCATAATTAGATTGGTTGCATTGTGCTCCAAAGGTTCTCCTGTGCCCCCTTGCACCTTACTACCCTAGTGCCTCCTACCATCAATGGCAAAGGCAGCAAGCCAATAAATCCTGGACATCACCATCCACCCTGCTAACCACCTAGCGCAAGAACTAGAGATACTACCGTTGGCAACATAAATAGCAACATGTATATAATACTTACAGTTTTGCTGGATACTATTGGTTTACTGCATGTTTTGCCTGAATTATCCATAACTTGGGTTCCTGTTTGATGACACATAGAAGAGGGAATAAGTGTTTGATGACACAATAGAATAAAATTCAGAATAAAGTCCATACAGTGTGTACATGATCTGAATAACGTGGAGGCTGTGGACGAAAAGGCACATCTTTTGGCAACAAACAGATGGCACTCTGGTTGAATACATCAAAGACAGAACGATGCTTCTTAACCAAATCAACATCTCTCTTCAACTCTGAGGAGCTGAAACGTGTTTCCATGAAGAAACTATAAATGTAATGGAAATATGATCCCTTCTTCATGCAACAAGAAGGAAAGTAGATGTAACTTCTAACCTTTCAAATGTATTGTCATACATTTTAACCAGTTGCAAATGCGTTTGTGAAACATCAAATCCCTGGACTGGGACACGTAAAACGCGCCCTTGCTGTAGCACAAACAAACAAAAAAAGAGAGGAAATTTCACAAAACCATTGTCCAATACTTAACAATTCTCAAAAAGTTAATCTTGAAGTTCCTTTTAGAGAGAGAGACGACCTTCTCAGAAATTTTTCGCTCACAATGTTTACCTTCCAGAACATCATCTGAAGTTTCAAGTTTTAAAGTCTGCATAATGACAAAACTTAACTCACACCAAACACATGCAGATGACAACAAATTAACTCTCAACAATTTTCTGTAGCAGTTATCAATTTGGCACAATTATATGACATGGAAAAATAGAAAAGATAACTTCCTTGTACATACAAACATGACATGAAACAATAAATTAAGAAAAGAACATCTTGCCTGTCGCCTATACGTATGTTCTTCTATGGTCCCACAAGTGATTAGGTGATACACAATTACAACCCTTACTTGTCCGATCCTGTACGCTCTATCAACCGCTTGATTATCATCACTGTTAACAATAAGATTAGTATTAAGAAAATAGTGCAGCAACATGTTTTGTAAATAGGATTAGTACTACCATGGGTTATCTGAAGGATCTATTATTACAACCCGGGATGCTGCAGTTAAGGTAATTCCCACTCCGCCTACTTTCGTAGTAAGAAGGAATATAGGTGGTCCATCCTTCCGTTGAAAATTCTACCAAAAAAGGTAAGCGTGAAAATCAATACAAAAAAGAATAAATGGAAATCAAGAAAAATGGGGGGAAAACAAAGTACACCTCAATAAGCTCGACTCTGTCTTCGCAACTCATGGTCCCATCCATCCTTATAATCTCTTCATTGATTTTGGCAGATAAAGCTTCCTGTTTGCAATTACAAATATTAAACATTTGTTTATATATGTATCAATTACAAATACACCATGGAGTGATCTTGATGGTGTAACACTTGTGCTTAGTTCCTTTTATCTTTTTTGCTAGTTAACTCTTTAAACACCTGTTGTGTGTGTGATGATAGAAGGGGGCAGGTATGGCAAGGAATCCCATGAAGGTAATGAGGTTACCTCAAGGACTTGTAGCATTTCCGGAGAGGTCGAAAACACAAGAATTTTGAGTTTATCATTCAGGAGAAGAGGCTGCGGCACAATAAAATTAGGTGGTTATTTCTAAATAACACGACATGAATTAGAAAGACACTTATCAAAAACTTACCAGGAAGTATAGAAGAAAGCTCAATTTACTTGAAGTTAGCTCTCTAGTTGATGTGTTGATTGTCTTCACTAAGGTGCGCTTAAATTGTTGTGAAATATTCTTGGCGCTTGTCATTCCAACGATACTGGGATCCAAACAAAGGCTTTTTGCCACCTATATACAGAGAAAGAGAAACATGCCAGTGGAGCCAGTGGAAATGATGCATCCTCAACAGCAGGCAAAAATGATGGATTGCGAAGGCTTACTTTTGAAATTTCAAAAGCTCCACCATGTTTCCTCGACCTGGGATTGGGGTCAACCATGAGGGCCTCATAAAGGTTAGCCTGCACAAAGAAACAAAACCAAGTAAAACAGGTCCAAAGGTTAGGGTGAATTTGCTGACAAGCTATACACATACACACCCACCCACACACCCCACACAAATATGTAATATTATATATATTCCATACCTGATGAGCGCTTATTTTCACCCAGACAATCACCTCATACTTGTTGGCCTTTATCCTGCCTGAATCCTTCAAAGTCATTTTGCTTCTTCGTAAAACAAATGGAGAAACCAATTTGTTCAAGTCCTGGGGAAAAATATTTTTAAGGGACTCAATAAATTGATCATTCTAGGAAATTTGGAAACATAGGAACTGTTATGTTTTTTAAGGAGCTAGCCCCTGTGTTCAGGCAGTACTAGGAAGGAGCAAAATGCAGGGAGATTGGCAGAATCAATCAGGGTGTATCCAGCTGCGTGTGGAGAGTAGTGTGGGGCATACTGGCAGTGTGAGTGGCCTGCAGCAGTCATTCATCCCGTGGGATTCCGGCAGGCCTGGGCAGCCATTGAATCATAGGGTGGGATTTCAGCGGCATCAGTGGCAGTGGACTGCGGATTTTTGAGCAATCCCAGAGTAAGGTCTGCGCATTTGAGTTGGTGTCCCTTAATTCCCACCCAACCTGGTATGGATTTGAGAGTCATCAATCACAGCGCAGGGTTGCTGGGAAGTCATGTGGAGCTTCCTGTCAGTGAGTTTGGTTTGTCTCACCAACAACTCCGCCACCAAGTCGATCTTCCAGCTGGTTTGGTGTGTCAAAATCAACAGATGGTTTGAAGCTACAGACCAAGCAGCAGATGGACCGTTTGTGCTCAGGATAAATTTCAGTTTTCCCACTTCACCACCTTATCCTCACCCTCACCGTCATCAGCCTCCAATCACACCACTGGGCACACCATAATCAGTACACACCCAACCATTGAGTTCCACAAGAAACAACATCCTAATCAAACATGGGATCAGTTTTTATCTTATGTTCAGTCCCAGTTTGGTCTCTATGATAACACAACTGCCCTCACCCATTGCTAGAATGTAAGCAGGATGGCCTGGGGGAAGATTATGCTGACAGTACGACATTTCTATGCACAATAGTGGATTTGATGAGCTGTACTTTGTTTCTCAGTTCACTAAGGGGAACCAATGGTCTGAACCCTCAACTGGAAACTATGCATCTTGCTATTATGTTGGCCAAGATACAGAAGCAGGTCTTGGATGGTAAATGGAAATTCAAAAGACCAGAGCGCAGGACATCTCATCCCCAACAAAATCCCCAGCCAAAACTGACATCTCATCCCCAAACCAAATCCCCAATCAAAACTACCAGAGCGCAGGACATCTCATCCCCCAATCAAATATTTTGCCCCAATACACTGGCAGTTGAGGGATTAAAGAAAGGCAAATGGCTTTTGTTTTCTGTGTGGTGAAAGGTGTGATGCAAATATGAAACATAATAGAATAACCGTCAGAAATAATTAACCTCTGAACTCTCAATGGCTTTTCGTCTCACACTAGGAGTTGATCCTTTGAACTTTCCACGATCGATAGGTACTAAGAAAGTCTCCTTAAATTCCTCCTTATTGCCCAGCAATGTTGGATTGCAGAATTTCATTAAGGAATAAAATTCCTGCACAAGGAGACAATTTAGCAGTTGGATTTAGAGCAGTATGGTGGAGGGGAAGAATGCAGATAGTACCATCAAATTATTTTGTATAGGTGTCCCTGTGACCACAATTCTGTGGTCACATCTGATCCCCTTAAGTGCTTTGGAAGCCTTCCCGGCTTTGTTTTTTATTCTGTGACCTTCATCTGCGAAGATGTAGTCTACAGTACCAAGCTTATCTGATATTTTCTGCTTATGGTCGCGGATAGTCTCATATGTAGTCAAAACAATACCGCCTTCCTGCGGGAGAGATGAGGGAAGTGATTATTTAGTGCTCGACTAGTCCCTAAGAAAGAAATAGTGTGCTGAGCAAAGTCAAAATCAGACTAACCTTCCCAACATTTTCTAGGGCAGTTAGATGGATTTTAGAGTTACCTTCAGGGAACCTGGAAGACAAAAACAATTACAGTGGTATAAACTCACACTTAAACATTAGATAAACTCACACTTAACATTTGACTAACTCACATTTTGCTTTGAAGACCAACTTTTGTTAACTCTGGTTTCCACTGATATATAACACTCAGCGGTGCAACGATTATAGCCTTGCTAATCAGATTTGAATTGAACAGCCCCCGTAGGAAAGCAGAGACTTGTCAGCTCTTTCCAAGGCCCATGTCATCTGCTAAGATACCCCCTCTATTGGTGCAATGGAGTTCCCAAAACCAAAACATACCTTTGCGCTGGTGAGAGAAGAGGCCATTATATACTGCATACGGAGTAGAGGTATTACACTCTCATAGAGTGCTTGGCGAAATATGAGAATAATCTGCTTGATGATGTCACATTTGATCCCCGGAAAGCAAATGTATGTTTCTCTTCCTCTTCTTCTGGATGGGCATTTACCTTGAATGACCTTGCAAGGTTTTGGTCACCAATACTTGGTGTGGACCACTCTCTGTTGGTGGAAAGGTTATGGGGCGAAAATTTCTATGATCCAGAAAGTAAGAAATGGAGTAAAGTGCACACTGAAACCTCTAAGCGAGGTTTTCCACACTTTTGCATTAACCTCATCATGATCATCTATCAGCGCTGCCTCAAAGGTGACCAGGGGAAGATTGAAGCACTCTTCTTTGGTGATACAATTAAAGATCAACAACAATTTGTGGGAAAAGTCGGAATTTCTCTTTATAAGGAGTTCATTAAGAAATTTCTACCAGCCGGTAGAACTTTTAGGAGAATGATCATTTGGAAGCTCCCGTCTGCGCAAAGAGCTCAACAGTACCGAGTTGACCATCTCAGGCAAAATTTATCCCCTATCATTGACTGGGCACTGTAGAGATGGTCAACTCGGTACTGTTGAGCTCTTTGCGCAGACGGGAGCTTCCAAATGATCATTCTCCTAAAAGTTCTACCGGCTGGTAGAAATTTCTTAATGAACTCCTTATAAAGAGAAATTCCGACTTTTCCCACAAATTGTTGTTGATCTTTAATTGTATCACCAAAGAAGAGTGCTTCAATCTTCCCCTGGTCACCTTTGAGGCAGCGCTGATAGATGATCATGATGAGGTTAATGCAAAAGTGTGGAAAACCTCGCTTTGAGGTTTCAGTGTGCACTTTACTCCATTTCTTACTTTCTAGATCATAGAAATTTTCGCCCCATAACCTTTCCACCAACAGAGAGTGGTCCACACCAAGTATTGGTGACCAAAACCTTGCAAGGTCATTCAAGGTAAATGCCCATCCAGAAGAAGAGGAAGAGAAACATACATTTGCTTTCCGGGGATCAAATGTGACATCATCAAGCAGATTATTCTCATAGAGTGCTTGGCGAAGAAAACTTTCACACTGGAGAGTAAACCCTTCGTTTAACTCAACTCTGATTAATGCTCTATCCACAATGGAGAGTGAAGCATTAAACTCCATTGATGAATCAGTAACTTCAGGACACTGGGTGACATTCACTAGAAACGTATCTCTGTGACCTTTATCCAGTCTGTAGTATAATGCCACAGGTTCATCTCCTCTAGCAATTGCATCACTCATCATTTCAGGAGCCAAAAGTGTAGGATCAGATGATAGTGCTTTAACAATATTGGCTTGACCTGGACCAAAGATACAAATGTTTCTGATATTCTCTTTCATATTCATAATCTTTTTCATACACTCCATCTTAACTGCATCTTTGATGAACTGATAAGCAACATCTTTGACTGCCTTGGAGCAAGGTGCTGTTAAGATCGACGGTCCTCTTTCGTTGACTAAAACTGTATCAGCTAACAACAGTGAAAACTGCTTTGTCTTCTCTGCGGTAGTGGTTTCTGCCTGGATGTTATGCAAACCAAGGAAGACATTAAAAACCATTCCCTGTTTTACCCTACCATCATTATTGGCATTCAGATTTAGGACAGATTCTTGGAATTCAAGGCCTATTCCACTTCCAGCTGACATTGTTAGATTAGGAAGTAGTTCAGGGGCATCCCTCTCAATCACTGCCCTTGCAGCTTGATAAACCGCACTCATCTGACTGCCTGGTTTCACCTTCCCAACAGCAGCTTCATGAGCTTTCAAGAGGGTCTCATAAGCTTTACTCTGCGCAGGGCTAGCATCAATAAGATATGTCCGAGCAACATTTGAACAATAGTTACTGTATTTGGAACCAATTGCACAGATGATAACACTTGCTGAATCATAATACAAGTACTCGTCCTTGCTAGATGCACCAGGCTTGAGATCAAACTTACCCCCACTCTGAGAGACCGGAGGATAGCATATAGACTTGAGATCAAACTTACCCCCACTCTGAAAGACCGGAGGATAGCATATATCCACATTATCAGGATTCAACTTCACCTTGATCTTGAGCAGATCAAGAATAGCCTTCACTGTCTCATCCCTCAGCAATGAGTGCGAGACTTTCTCCTCCTCCGTGATAACCTTCATGAGCTTTGGAACCACGAAATTTTCCAGAACAGATGAAGTTAAGTAAGCAGCCTTTTTAACACATGTGATCTCTGTGGTGTCCTTCACAGCGAAGAGCTCAGAGAAGCCATTTGTTACATCTGAAGGTCGTATGCCGTACGAAGATAACTTTGATGCCCATGTTTGAAGCAGTTTACCCCCATCTACCTCCTTGGCAATGTGTCCAACAACTGGCTTGTCTGATTTCGATCGAGTCTGAGCAGCCCGCACTATGTCATCCATCAAGTCAGAACCATCAGTATTCTTCGTTTTCACATGCAACACAATGTCCGCACCAACAGCCTCATTTGCAGCCTTCTCGAGGGTCCCGATAAGTTTTGCTTTCTTCTGACTGCATAAAACATGTATTTGATTCTTCATGAAGACAATTATTGTTTCTGGAAATTCATATCCAAGTAACCAAATCTCCAGGGCTACAGATTTCAAATGCGGAGGGGCGTCAAGTGCTGGAGTAGCAATGACAATAGCATCCGAGGACCTCCAAAGATCAGACTTGTGCTCCTTCCAATGGTCATAGAATACCTTCAGCCGCTTACTGAAGTTCTCAAGATTAATTGTATAGGCGCCAGTTCCCCCTTTGGCACTACCATTATCAGCCATCTTTGTCAATAAGCTAATATTAACAAAGACAGCTGCAAAAAGAATTGATCTGAAGTTAGCAAACCAGAAAATCACAAGGTTATCCTAACAGTCAGCCATGAATTTTTGAGCATGAGGAAATACTTGAGAACAAAAACAAAAACTCAGGCAAATAGGATGGAGCAGTAACCATATAGAATTGTGAGCATGAAGAAATACTTAGAACAAAACAAAAACTGTACAGGCAAATAGGATGGAGCAGTAACCATACAGAATATCAAAATTGATAGTGTTTATCAAAATAACATTTTCCTTATAGAAAGGAGAGCAAGTTGCTTCAATTACTGTGGATAAGCTATAGTCACAATAGGCAATCATTGTCCCAATAACACCCAAATGACACCAAGACTGGATACTAAGACGTTCCTTTTAACATAACACAAAAGGATATTTTCCCTAGTCCATACTTACTTGCAATCTGGAAAGCAGATCAACTTCCAACAGTCAGTTTGGGAAGGGGAAATGGAATCCAAATCCTTAGAATTTACTTCATCGAAACGGGCCGGAAGTGACTGCAAAACCATGAGTAAATATCCATTACAGCTGATAACCAATGTACCACACCACTTGGATCTATTACTTCAATTTCAATGAATATTAAAAATGCTTAACGGGAGAATTTCCATAATCTGGTATTTGAACACTCATGAGATCCCAATCATGTCATAGAGAACAACATAAGATTTCAAAACAATATTTACAAATCAACTGTAGATTAAACTTTAAGCAATCAGACTTCAAAAGGCAAATCTGACTCAAAAAAGGATATCAAGGACAGTAGGAACATAATCAGACTAATAATCACAAATCATGACAACCTGCTAACACCAATTCAAGCATTCATCAGCCATCAACTCTAATTTATAAACTATCTCCATCCTCAAATGAACAGCTATTTTTGAAATCACTCTGAAATAGGCAAGAGTAACTTGAAACTACGAATTGCAGGTAATAAGAAGGGAATTATGTCAGGGAATTCATTGCTTGTGCGGTAAGGGATTCCTAAGGAACTTAACCAAACATGGAAGTAGAAGGCATACACCAACAGAGTAATCAACTTTGGGTAGCAGAAGTCTAGCTATTTCCTTCCCAACTTTGGGATCCTGACAACCTAGCAAGCGATAGATAATATATGAACGAAGGGGATACACCAATCCAGGGGGCCAGGGCGAGAAACATGGGTAACATTGTAACAAAACATCTCTAGAAGACGATCGAGAAGAGTTTACGAAATTGGCGGGTGACGGATACCGCGCCTCGCTCTGGTTCACGAGCACAACATCGTCATGCTGTTCCGGTCGCGTGGCTTCTGCTCGCGATCTACGGTGACTGATGGTGTCTAAGCAGGACAATATGAGAAGCAGTGAGAATACAATGGGGCTTACCGGAGAATGGGGGAAGCGGTGGGATCCTGCGGTGGGCTCCTGCGGCGACGGCGAAGTCTCCGCCGATTCTCTCCACAACCCTAGGGCGGTTTCGTGGGTTACTTCTGGCGCTCGTTCGCTCAGCTGAAGCCGCCGGCCAGAATAGGGGGCTGCTGGGAGGAGAGGAGAGACGGGGCCAGGTGTTACAGTGGGTTAGCTTCTTAGAGAACAAGAAAGAACGGGATGGGACTACGGGAGAGGAACCTGCTTCGGTATTCCGATTTCCGAATTTGGAAAAAAACAATAGAATTTTCGGGTTACAGAATTTCTTATCCTCCTCAACATTTCGCAGCTTTATACAGTATATCGCTATTCTATGCCCATATCTGCCGCTGGAGAGGATAGTATCCCCATTTAATTTCATAATCATCGTTATTTATTTCTCATTCTAATATTATTGGGGTTTTCAAAAAAAATCTAATATTATTGTGTACATTAGATAATGATCAATTTTATTCATATTCATTGTTTGAGTTGAATTACTATGCCTACTATATATACGTACATGATTCCACTTTGAAATTTTAATAAAAATTGATTAAAACTTGTTAAAATGACTCAAGCTACAACTTTATGCAGATTAACAAGACTATATCTATACATATATAGAACCACGTTAAAAGCCAGATCCTAAAATAACTTATGTTCACACTTAAACATTTTATCAAAATTGATGAAATTTTTTAAATGATTCGGTATCACAACAGGCTATGTCGTAGCTAGATTTAAATGTGGCTCCACGTCAAAAGTTTGAGTTTAAAATTACAAATCCCCATTACACCTTAATATTTTTGTGAAATTAGCTAAAATTAGTTGGAGCCCGGTTTCGAAACCGGTCAGGCTGGTTTTGGAGGCTGAAGCCAGTTGCTCCTTTCTTCACCTTCATGCTCCAAATGCAAACCAGCAGGCCAGTTATGTAGGCTAGAGCCAATTGCTCCTTTCTTCGCCTTCCAACCTCCGAATGTGGTATTCCAAACATTCTTCTTGATTGTTTGAAGCCATGAATATTGTCATGAGGTCCTTTTAGGCCTTGGCCACTCTTGACCCTCAACAATTAAATACTTAAATAAAATTACCTAAAGCTTATTCATGTATTTACATTATTAGTAACATGGAAATTTTGTTGGTGACATCGTCCTTTAATGGAATTGGTTGTTCAACACCGCTATTTCGTGTATTTGCTGAGTACCACTACAAAACACAAGGTTTTTTTTTGCTCCTGGACACCGCACGCATTATTTTACTCATTTTCTCGGATCTGTAGAGAGAGTGTAGGGAAATGTCTTTTTTTGCCTCTTCTTCGTCCTCCGGCTAGGGGCGGAGCTCTCGTCTTTGCCAGTGCAGAGGCGAAGCTCCCGGCGGCGCAGCTCCTATCCCGCCTCCACCGGCCAATCCAGCCACACCGCGATAATTCCCAGCCTCCGGTCTCTCTCTCCCAAGGTCCTCCACCAGCCCGGCTAAGGGCCAAAATGGAATGCTCTCGACCCAAGGAAGCTACCCCCATGGTTCAAACCCGGCTGAAACCCACTACTCGAGCTGCCACCAAACCTCACCGCCACCATGCCCATCTTCGGCTGCCCCCTGTCGTCGTTCTAGTCATCGGTCGTCGCTCCTACCCCCAATTCTAGCTTCGCGCCCCTCCGTGGACCATGGGCCCGCCTTCCGTTAGACTTCTTGGTTGAGGTTGTAGGTTGACATGGTGCAGGTTGAGCTCGGAGCAGAGGATGCGGTGGTCGACGACGAAGAACACTGGGTTCTCGTGCAAGGTAGGGGCCGAGGGGTGGCAGGGTAGATGATGGTGGTGTTGGAGCTTGTCCCCATGTGCAGCAGCAGCTTCTTCTTCATGGACAACCGGTGTGTTACCGCAAACATTTAGTGAGCAACTGATCAAGACAAGGGTAGAAAAGATATTTCCCCACCTTCTCTCTTGAAAGAGAAGTGAATAAAATTATACGTGTGGTGTCCATGAGCAAAATAACCGGTTTTGTAATCATACTCAACAAATGCACGAAAATAGCGGTGTTGAATAGCCAAACATCAAAGAATGGTGTCTGGCAGCAAAATTTCCGCCAGTAATTGTCGGTGTCTAGAATGGCGCTCTAGACACGGTGACAAGTAAATTTGTATCTGCGCATCTAGGTCCGGATGGTGTGTAAAGTGGACACAAAGATGTATACTGGTTCGGGCTGAATGTCCCTACGTCCAGTGGATGCTGCCTTTCGTGTTACTCTGCACTGGGGTGCTTGTAGTAGGGGTTACAAGCTTTCGAGAGAGGGAGGAGCTCCCAAATCTCTTTTGGTGTAGGATTCGAGTCTCGGTGTGTCGATCGATGTCTGTCTCGATGGGTGGATGTGTCTGAAAGGTCCTTGTTTGGTTTTGATAATTGAATGACAACCTAAGTGGACTAATATGTGTTTGATATAAAAATACACAGGAAATTAGTCCACAGGTGAACGTGTGATGAAGGAACTCATTGCATATGAGACATGACATGGAGTCATGTGACTAAGGTGGAGAAGATCAAGACAAGACTTGGATTGATGGACCGGTTGCAAGTGTGAAGGGCAAGTCGGAGGCTTCGAAGCAAGGGACCGCGTGTGACGGTGAAGCTTGAGCAAGACTTGGCGCCGATGGACCGATGCAACGGTGAAGAGCGAGTGAGGTCAAGATCGATGAACCAATACGGTCACGTGATGATATGAAGTGGATCATATCATTTGTGATATGGTTGGTGCATGTGTTGCATCAACATTGGAAGAGATGAAGTGGAATGGAATGTGCAAGGAAAAGGTATAACCTAGGGCATTTTATTTCACCGGTCATAGGTATGTAGAGAAGTTTATGACCGGGTTTAGGATAGATGGCCGTACTATCAAGAGGGGTAAACTTGTTTGCATATCGGTCATCTAGTGCCACTTGAGCGATCTAACTTTGTGACATGATAAGATTGAGTGGCGTGGAGAGTGTGAGTGAAAATCCTTTAAAGTAAGATTGTGAAATGCTAACACACATGCACATGGTGGTGTTGGCACATTTACAAAAGGGTAGAAGTTCGGTGGTGAAGAAAGAGGAGAAACTCATGGATAGTCCCTCTCCCTTCTGCCGAGCTTGCGAGGCAGGATTTAGCGAATTTTTGGAAGTGTTCTTCACTATTTTTAGTGCACCGGACGCTGCACCGGACGCGTCCGGTGCTTGTGCAGACACTGGGGCGAGTCCAGTTGTATGTGACCGGACACGTCCGGTGCCTCGAGGAGCTCTTGGGGAGCTCTCTGAGTTGCACCAGACGCTGGCTGAGAAACTGACCGAACGCTGAGCAGACGCGTCCGGTGCTTACGAGCGTGGCTCTCGGGCGATTTTGTCGCTAGCGACCGGACGCGTCCGGTCGACAAAAATCGTCTATGCACCCTCTCTGGACAGCGACCGGACGCTACACCGGACGCGTCCGGTGCGAGAACAGTGAGCGCGCCAACGGTTATTTTCAAACGGCTAGTACACGTGGCATCACGAGAGTGATCGGACGCTGCACCGGACGCGTCCGGTGCAACATTACTGAGCATCCGGTCGACGCGCAGAAATCCCAGTGAAGGGGTATAATGGCTCTATTGGTTTGAGGCCTATATATAGAAGTGGTGGCCGGCCTTTGTTGGTTGCTGAGCACCCTTGAGCCTTGGTGGCTTGTGTAGGTGTGCTTGGAAGCCCTCTAACTCACTTGTGCTAGCTAGTGTGCGAATCAATAGCGAAGTGAGCGATCTCTAGTGCGTTGCTTTGAGAGATAGCATCGAGTGGCACTAGGTGTTCGTGTTGCAAGCTGGTAGTGCTTGTTACTCTTGGAGGTTGCCACCTTCTAGATGGCTTGGTGGATTGTGGCTCCGTTGAAGCACGCAAGAAGCTTGTGCGTGGCACCAGAGAAAGTTCGTGAGGGGTATTGTGCTCGCCCCACGGGGATCGCGAAGAGTAACTCTAGTTGAGAGTGTCATTGAGCTACCCTCACTTTCGGGGTAGGTTCTTGCGGTGCCCGACGTGCGGACTTGGCGAGTGATGCCAATTAGCTGCCGAACCATCAAGTGAGCGGTTGACACAACGGGGACGTAGCGTGTTGACAAGCACGTGAACCTCGGGAGAAAATCACCGTGTCAACATTGTCTTCATCATCTTCTCGGTGGTTTGCATTCCGTTAAACACAAACTTGCATTTACATTTCATATACTTGTGCTTGTTGTTGTTGCTCTTGCGCTACTAGTTTGCATGTGTAGCTTGCTAGTAGCTAGCTTAGCTTGTGTAGCTTAGTTAGCTCCCTTGCGTGGCTAATTTGGTTTGTGTAACCTTGTTAGTCACATTGCTTAGTTTGTGTAGCTAAGTAATTTGCGCTCTCTAATTTGGCACGATTGCCTTGTTATTGAGCATTGCTAGTGAGCCTAGGCTTTGTGCTTTTGCTTACTAAAATTGTGTAGGAGCTCCTCCGGTTGGCAAAGTACTAGTTGTATAGGTTTGTGTGACCTTGCCACTAGAATTGTTTAGGCGAGCTCTTGTCTAGCTTGGCACCTTAGTTGCTTAGTTACTATCATTGCAAGGTGCTAGAGTACTTAGATAGAGGGGTATAGTCTTGGTTAGACCGATAGTTTTAATTCCGCACTTGAATCGGTTAGCCGACGCGATTAAGTTTTAAGAAAAGACTATTCACCCCCCTCTAATCCGCCATCTCAACCTTTCAGTGTCCCTCTCGATGGGTCGATCCATCCCCCCTAGATGAGATCCCTACCTCTCCTTTTATAGATTTGAAGGGGAGGGCTCGAGTTACAGCTGTGGTAAAAAGGTGAAAGGGAAAAAGACAAAAGAGAAAAACAAAAAGGTGGCCTTGGGCATGGCTGTCTTCCTCCTTATCCGGCACGAGCAGTCGACTCTGTAGCACAAGGACAGCATGGCCGTCGAGTTTTTTGCCTCTCCGTCCACCGGTGCAACGCGCTGTGTCCATGCTTTGGCCTATGTGCTTCTGTACCGTCAAGGATGGGCGATGCGTGCACCTGGATTTACGTAGAGAGGGGGTTAGGTAGCACAGTTGCCGCTACCTCCGTTGCTGTAGAGGCGTGGACGCCGGTCATGGTGGAATGACCGGGGTCATGTCATTTCGTACCACGATTCCCATGCCCCCGTACACTAGGAGGGGTCGTGCACGTCTTATTCGTGGAGGCAAGTGTTGTGGTGGGGGCCCACGCGGCTCCCAGCTGCGCCCGAGGGCCTTACACGTCCCTCGGGCGAGGCAGAAGTATGCCGAAAGGGTCGGGTGCTCCCATGCTTACGTCGCAGGGGTCGGGTGAGGCGGAGACTGTTCCCAACGGTGTTGGGAATATGCCCTAGAGGTAATCATAGAGATGATTATATTACGTTGTATCCAAGATATATTATGAGTTCAATGAATATCCATTAAAGGCAACTTGTATCGATTGGCAATTATGAGAATTGTTTGTGAAACTCTTTTACTTGTATGGTTATTCTAAAGTTGTCCCTGATCGGAGTTCGTGTGAGGATACACATGAATATTAGATCAGCACATATATCAGTTGATGACTATGTTTCACAAGTCATGGACATAGAGATGTCAAACTAATAGTGTGGGCACATGTATGACATGGGGCTGGACTGACCCAACGTGAGATGCTCTAATTATCTCTATACATATCATGTACGTTATGTCCTTAGACCTGAGATTGTCGTATGTATTCAAGATGTGAAATGACCTACTCAGGGACTATCAAACGCTATTCCGTAACTGGGTAGTTATAAAGGTGGTTTTCGGGTTTGTCGGGATACATGCTGTGAGACATAGTCAATCAAGTTGGAATTTGCCCCTCTTCATATAAGAGAGATATCATTGGACCACTCGAATGATTGGATCAAGAAATGCATGGTCGTGCTTGGGTTAAGTGTTAACCTATGAGCTGGACCAAATATCGTGAGGCAAGGGAATAAGATGTATGTGGTTTTGTGGTGGTTCGTCTGATATGATCTTTGCGTATGCATAGGAGTTGATATGCCTTGCTAGAGACCGCTATCAACTAATGGCTGATTAAGAGTACTCGGGCCATGTCTATGTGTGTGTGAACCCATAGGGTCGCACGCTTAAGGGGCTAGAAGCCTAATTTGGATTGGATCCAAGTTAGACAAGGCTTAGGGTTACTAATGGGCCTCCATCTCGGCAGCTCATTAGGGATGCCTATAAATAGATGGGGTAGGCAACGGGGCTGGACACGCTATTAGGGCAGCCGCCGCACATCCTACGCCCGCGCCTATTGTTCCTCACGGACCTAGCAGTCCGGAGGCGTGACGCTTCCTCCTTGTACATGTGGATACCTCGGAGGTGCTGCATCTGGATAACAAGGACGAACCGCACGAGAGCGATGGATGGACAGACGACCTTGCAACTGCATGGCACTGGTACAACACGTATGACTACATCGAGTCGCTTCCGCTGCACCTGCGCGTCTAGTGGTATTCCCGTGATCTATAACTAGCAGTAGATCCAGGTTTATGAGGTTGAATTTTTATTTTCTGGCTAGCGTAGCATCCTCATAACCCTACAGTGGTATCGGAGCCGTTACTGCATTGTTATAGGTTTGGATGCGTGCATATGAAGATATGCGCGGTAGTAGATGAGTCTCTGATCATGGTTCGTGATTTTACCGTGTTGGTCTTGTAACGATCTACTCGTACCGGTCGGAATTCCGCCATCCGAGTTAAGTGATACAAGTAAATCCAGTCATAGCAAGATGAAGATCAATTCTGTTGATCGAATCAAACCTAGGTCAAGTGCCGAGCGCATGTGATGCGCAGCGGTGATAGATAGGATCTACTGCCGGACGCCGGGGTGCAAGAAAAAGTGTTGTTCGGTAAAACAGCCATAACTTTTGCATACGACCTTGGATTGAGACAAACTCTAAACGAAAATTGTAGAGAAAATTTTTTTACATCCGTTGACGACGGCCTATGGCCGTATCACTGAAATTAGATTTGCAAAAAACGGCCGGGAAGATGGTGTTTTCGGCGTTTTAAGATTAGACGTCGGAATCGGTTAACTCTGTTTTGCAGGAATTTATGACTGGTATAGCCTGTATGTGTATGTGATGCATGTATGTAATTAATTCATGGCTTGCATGCCATGAGTATGACAATATGGCTGGAGCCACAAAGATATTGTCAATTTGATGTAATGACCTGCGTGTCAAACTGTGATGGTTCTATCCGCGACTATGTAATTTTCTTCACTACCTTGCGTTAGTGATGGCTAGTCTTGGTGGACTTATCACTGAAGGATGGCATACATGGATCATGGAGATGGAGATCGTCATGATGAACAGTTCGATGGAGATGGAGATCTCCAAAGGAACAATGGGCTATACCAAGTCATATCTGTGTTAATGCCGTTCTTACTATGTTCTACTTTCACGTGCGGTAATATTCTTGTCTACATATGATAGTGAAGTAGAACGATCCCTCGGCAATGTTTAAGTTAGAATGCTCCCCAAACCTTGCACTGTCATGTGTCTTGTACAATCGGTGGTGGGCCTATGAAATTTGGGTGCCACTGGTTTTCCTTGACTAGACAGGTTCGTATCGGATACTTACAACAGAAGGGTTGGTTACTTGGACAAGGTCATCCTAACGGTTAGGGACCTTGGAGCATGAGTAGTTGGGCACCAAAGCATAGAGATGCTACCCAACAACAAGAGTCATATGTGATATGATTAGCAAAGAGTTGCTTACCGATCTACCATGTCTTCTAGCGGTGATGCTAAAGCTCACTAGTAGACTTGTTAGTTGTGGGTCTTGAATCACTAAGTTTCAATAGAGGGATATTGATTTTAGTGGGAGTAGATTCTATTAAAGGTTTAATATTGTTTACTCTGTCTTGGATACATTGTCTTAGTATTTTGCATTACTTTTGTTGTAGATAAATGGCGCCTAGCAACCAACTATTTACTTTGCGTTCAATTCTTGAGAAAGATAAGTTGAATGGAACAAACTATGCGGATTGGATCCGCAACCTAAGAATTGTTCTCAGGGCTGAGAAAAAGGAAGATATTCTAGACACCCCATTACCAGATGAGCCTGCTGATAATGCACCTGCTGCAGAGAAAACCACTTACAAGAAAGCATGTGATGCTGATCTTGAAGTAAGTTGCCTTATGCTTGCTTGTATGGAACCAGATCTGCAGATGCAGTTTGACAATAATCATGCAGCTTACGATATGATCGTGGCGCTCGATGATATGTTCCAGACTCAAGCCAGGACTAAAAGGTTCAATGTCTCAAAGGCTTTTGTAGAGAACAAGCTAGCAGAGGGCGCAGCAGTTGGGCCACATGTGATCAAAATGGTTGGTTACACTCAGAGGTTGGAGAAGCTGGGCTTCCCAATTGGCCAAGAGTTGGCTACTAATTTTATTCTCGCGTCTCTTCCGCCCAGCTACGGGAATTTCATCTCGAACTACCATATGCATGGGGAGGAGAAGGGCTTGAATGAATTATGTGGCATGCTTAAAACAGCAGAGACTGATATAAAGAAAGGTGCTAGAAGTAGTCATGTGATGGTTGTCCAAAACAAGCCTAAATTTAAAAGGAAGGGCGATTCTTGGAAGAAGAAAAAGGGCAAGGCTAAAGATGAGATCTCTAAGCCAAACCCATCTGCGCCCAAGGCTGGACCAGCTCTGATGCTGAGTACTTTCATTGTCATGGGAAAGGTCACTGGAAGAGGAACTGCAACCTATACCTAGAATCCATAAAGGATCACGGCAGTAAAGGTACTCCCGCAGCTTGTACACTTGTTGTTTATGTTACGGAGATTTTCCTTACTAATTCTTATATTAATTCTTGGGTATTTGATACCGGATCGGTTGCTCATATTTGCAATACGATGCAGGGAATGATAAGAAGTAGAAGCGTGGAAAAGGGAGAAGTTGATTTCCACGTGGGCAATAATGCAAGAGTTGTTGCGTTGAACGTTGGGACGATGCAACTACAAACCCCATCAGGATTTATTATGGAGTTGAATAATTGTTATTTTGTTCCTAGTTTAAGTCAAAACATTGTGTCACCTTCATGTTTGATGAAGAATGGTTATTCATTTGCGAGTAAAGACAATGGTTGTGTTATCTCTAAAAATGGTATGTTTGTGGCTTCTGCATCCATTGTGAATGGGTTATTTATTTTAAATCTTGATGATGCTCCTATTTGTAATATAAGTGCTAAAAGGCCTCGGCTTAATGAGTTAAGTCCTACCTATATGTGGCATTGTCGTTTAGGTCATATAAGTGAGAATCGCATGAAGAGGCTCCATTCTGATGGGCTTTTAACTTCGTTTGATTTTAAATCATACGAGACACGTGAGGCTTGCCTGCTGGGCAAGATGACCAAGATGCCTTTTACAGGTTTTCCTGAGAGGACGACAGACTTGCTGGAACTCATACATACTGATGTGTGCGGACCAATGAGTACGACAGCAAGAGGCGGATTCCAATACTTCATAACCTTCACTGATGATTTTAGTAGATATGGATATGTCTACTTAATGAAACATAAGTCTAAGACTTTTGAAAGGTTCAAGGAGTTTTAGAGTGAAGTAGAGAATCAATGTGGCAAGAAAATTAAGGCTTTACGATCTGATCATGGAGGCGAATATTTGAGCCACGAGTTTAGCAATCATCTAAAGAGTTGCAGAATTGTTCCACAGCTTACGCCACCTGGAACACCTCAGAGAAACGGTGTGTCCGAGCGACGTAATTGGACTTTGTTGGACATGGTACGGTCTATGATGAGCCAGTCAGACCTACCGTTATTCGTTTTGGGGATACGCTCTAGAAACAGCCGCTTTCACATTGAATAGGGTACCGTCTAAGTCTGTAGTTAAGACACCACATGAGATGTGGACTGGTAAGAGTCCCAGTTTGTCTTTTCTGAAAATTTGGGGTTGTGAAGTTTATGTCAAATGACTTATGTCAGATAAACTAACACCCAAGTCGGACAAATGCTTTTTCATGGGATATCCGAAGGAAACTTTAGGGTATTACTTCTACAACCGATCAGAGGGCAAAGTGTTTGTTGCTCGGAACGGTGTTTTCTTAGAGAAAGAGTTTCTTAAAAGAGAGAAAAGTGGACAGAAGGTGTATCTTGAAGAAGTTCAAGATGAGCCAGTTGGGAAGGACTCTACGAGTGATGCTAATGTAGTAGAACAAGTTGAGATACCCGTGGCAATAGAAACACCACCGCAACCACGAAGGTCAGCAAGAATCCATGAGTTGCGTGGGGATTTGTTATTGTTAGACGATGACGAACCTACGACTTATGTAGAAGCAATGATGGACCCAGATTCCGAGAAATGGCAAAGTGCCATGAGATCCGAGATAGATTCCATGGGAAACAATCAAGTTTGGAACTTGGTTGACCCGCCTGATGGGGTTAAACCCATAGAGTGCAAATGGATCTATAAAAAGAAAAAGGATATGGATGGAAACGTTCACGTCTCTAAAGCTCGACTTGTAGCAAAGGGTTTTCGGCAAGTTCAAGGAATTGACTATGACGAGACTTTCTTGCCGGTAGCGATGCTTAAATCTATCCGGATCATTCTAGCAATAGCTGCTTATTTCGATTATGAGATATGGCAGATGGATGTTAAAACAACCTTTCTAAATGGAAATTTGGATGAGGACGTGTATATGATACAACCAGAAGGTTTTATTGATCCGAACAATGCTGGAAAAATTTGCAAGCTTCAGAAATCCATTTATGGATTAAAGCAAGCATCTCGGAGTTGGAACATTCATTTTGATGAAGTGGTCAAAGGGTTTGGCTTCCGTCAGAATGAAGAAGAACCTTGTGTTTACAAGAAGGAAAGTGGGAGTGTTGTTGTATTTCTGATCTTATATGTGGATGACATATTATTGATTGGGAATGATATTTCAATGTTGCAATCCGTGAAGACTTCACTAAATAATACTTTTTCTATGAAGGATTTAGGAGAAGCAGCATACATTTTGGGCATCAAGATCTATAGAGATAGATCAAAGAGGCTTATAGGATTAAGCCAAGATACGTACATTGACAAAATGTTGAAACGGTTCAACATGGAACAATCCAAGAAAGGGTTCTTGCCTATGTCACATGGTATGCGCTTTAGCACGAAACAATGTCCTTCGACAGCTGAAGAGCGAAAGCACATGAGTAAGATTCCATACGCCTCAGCGGTTGGTTCCATCATGTACGCCATGATATGTACTCGCCCAGATGTATCATATGCTCTAAGTGTCGCGAGCAGGTACTAAGCTGATCCAGGTGAGAGTCACTGGACACTTGTTAAAAATATTCTTAAGTACTTAAGAAGGACTAAAGATGTGTTCCTAATCTATGGAGGTGAGGAGGAGCTCATTGTAAATGGTTACACCGATGCTAGCTTCCAAATTGACACGGATGATTCACAGTCTCAATCAGGTTTTGTGTTCACAATAAATGGTGGTGCAGTAAGTTGGAAAAGCTCCAAGCAGGAGACGGTGACCGATTCTACAACAGAAGCCGAGTACATCGCAGCTTCTGAATCTACAAAGGAAGGTGTTTGGATGAGCAGGTTTCTCATTGATCTTGGTGTGTTTCCAAATGCGTCCAGCCCATTGAATCTACATTGTGACAACAATGGGGCAATTGCGCAGGCTAAGGAGCCAAGGAATCACCAAAAGAACAAACATGTACTGCGGAAATTTCACCTTATTCGAGAATTCAATAGAAGAGGTGAGATCAAAATGTGCAAAATACACACGGATTTGAATGTTGCAGATCCTTTGACAAAGGCCCTTCCACAGCCTAAGCATGAGGCGCACATGAGAGCTATGGGTATTAGATATCTTTGAGATTAACTCTAGTGCAAGTGGGAGATTGTTGGGAATATGCCCTAGAGGTAATCATAGAGATGATTATATTACGTTGTATCCAAGATATATTATGAGTTCAATGAATATCCATTAAAGGCAACTTGTATCAATTGGCAATTATGAGAATTGTTTGTGAAACTCTTTTACTTGTATGGTTATTCTAAAGTTGTCCCTTATCGGAGTTCGTGTGAGGATACACATGAATATTAGATCAGCACATATATTAGTTGATGACTATGTTTCATAAGTCATGGACATAGAGATGTCAAACTAATAGTGTGGGCACATGTATGACATGGGGATGGACTGACCTAACGTGAGATGTTCTAATTATCTCTATACATATCATGTACGTTATGTCCTTAGACCTAATATTGTCGTATGTATTCAAGATGTGAAACGACCTACTCAGGGACTATCAAACGCTATTCCGTAACTGGGTAGTTATAAAGGTGGTTTTCGGGTTTGTCGGGATACATGCTGTGAGACATAGTCAATCAAGATGGAATTTGCCCCTCTTCATATAAGAGAGATATCACTGGACCACTCGAATGATTGGATCAAGAAATGCATGGCCGTGCTTGGGTTAAGTGTTAACCTATGAGCTGGACCAAATATCGTGAGGCAAGGGAATAAGATGTATGTGGTTTTGTGATGGTTCGTATGATATGATCTTTGCGTATGCATAGGAGTTTACACGCCTTGCTAGAGGCCGCTATCAACTAATGGCTGAGTAAGAGTACTCGGGCCATGTCTATGTGTGCGTGAACCCATAGGGTCACACGCTTAAGGGGCTGGAAGCCTAATTTGGATTGGATCCGAGTTAGACAAGGCTTAGGGTTACTAATGGGCCTCCATCTCGGTAGCTCATTTGGGACGCCTATAAATAGATGGGGTGGGCAACGAGGCTGGACACGCTATTAGGGCAGCCGCCGCACATCCCACGCCCACGCCTGTTGTTCCTCATGGACCTAGCAGTCTAGAGGCATGACGCTTCCTCCTTGTACGTGTGGATACCTCGGAGGTGCTGCATTTGGAGCACAAGGATGACCGCATGAGAGGGACGGACGGACGGACGACCTTGCAACTGCACGGCACGTGTATGACTACATCGAGTCGCTTCCGCTGCACCTGCGCGTCTAGTGGTAATGCCGTGATCTATAACTAGCAGTAGATCCATATTTATGAGGTTGAATTTTTATTTTCCGGCTAGCATAGCATCCTCATAACCCTATAGACGGGCCAGGTGCGCCCGAGGCCTAGCGGCTGGGTCAGGCGATGTGATAACGTCATGAGGGCTCGGGCGAGGTGGAGACTGCTCCCGAGAGGTCGGCTCGCCCGAGGCCTTACGGTAGGGCTCGGGCGAGGTGGAGATCGCATTCGAGGGGTCTGCTTCGCTTTGACCCAAGCCTCCCGACGACGGGCCTCGCTTTGCTCCATCAAAAGTTAGCCTTTATTTTGTATAACTGAATTTGGATCACAACTCAACAAACTCCACCTTGAGACAAATTCCTTCTTGTAGCATAAAATGAACCTTTTACCTTGAAACAACAAAGAGAATACCTCTGGTGCCAAATAGCCTCTTGGGCTAAACAGTTATACCAACTAAGTTTGAGCGGAACTGGCTTTGTCATCATATCAGCAGGATTATCATGTGTGCTTATCTTGCATACCTTCAGCTTACCTTGCGCAACAACACCGCGAACATAATGGTATTTGACATCAATGTGCTTCGTTCTTTCATGGAATATCTGATCTTTAGTGAGGTATATAGCACTTTGACTGTCACAAAACAAATTAATGTAAGAATCATCTCCACAAAGTTTAGCAAACAAACCTTTCAACCAAACCGATTCTTTACATGCTTCAGCAATAGTCATGTATTCCGCTTCAGTGGTAGATAGGGCAACAACGGGCTGTAATGTTGCCCTCCAACTCACAGCACAACCACCAATAGTGAACACATAACCTGTGAGAGATCTCCTCTTATCCAAATCGACAGCAAAATCTAAATCTATGTAGCCAGTGAGTCCCTTATCAATCTTGCCAAACTTTAAACAAGCATTTGTTGTGCCACGAAGGTACCTGAAAATCCACTGAACAACCTTTCAATGTTTTTACCAGGATTAGCCATGTATCTACTAACCAAACTCATAGCATACGACAAATCAGGATGAGAGCAAACCATGGCATACATCAAAGAACCAACAGTACTAGAATATGAAACTCTTGACATGTACTCAAAATTCTCATCCGTACTAGCACATTGTAAAGCTGATAATTTAAAATGAGGGGCAATAGGAGTACTAACAGACTTTGCATCATGCATGTTGAAATAATGAAGAACTTTCTTAATGTAACTTTGCTAACTAAGAAATAACAAACCAGAATTTCTGTCTCTTGTAATCTGCATACCTAGAATTTTCTTAGCAGCACCAAGATCCTTCATCTCAAACTCACTACTCAATAATTTCTTCAATGTAGTGATTTCTTTCTTGCTCTTAGTAGCAATCAACATATAATAGCAAGTATATAGGTGATCCATCAACAAATTTAATGTACACACAGCTATCAAATTCAGACCTCTTAAAGCCATGTGACAACATAAAAGAATAAAACATTTTATACCATTGACGAGGAGACTGTTTCAAACCATATAAGGGCCTCTTTAACTTGCAAACATGATCCTTCTTATCCGGTACTATGAACCCATCTGGCTGGTCCATGTATATCTCCTCCTCAAGCTCTCCACGTAGAAACGCAGTCTTTACATCTAACTGCTCAAGCTCAAGATCACGCATAGCAACAATACTGAAGAATATACGAATTGAACTATGCTTTACAACTGGAGAGAACACATCATTATAATCAACACCAGGAATCTGACCGAAACCTTTTGCTACTAACCTTGCCTTAAACCTTAGAGGCTCACTAGGGGATAAACCCTCATTTCTCTTGAAAATCCATTTGCAACGGACGACCTTCTTTTGTTTAGGCAAGCGCACAACATCACATGTGCCATTCTTCTCAAGTGACTGCATCTCTTCTTGCATAGCGGAAATCCACTTCTCGCGGTCACCAGAAACAACAGCTTTAGTGTACGTAGCTGGTTCATGAATGTTCTCCACCTATTCAGCACAACTAAAAGCATAATGAACGATATCACATTCCTCAATTAAACGTGGACGAGGTCCACAACTCCTCTTTGTTCTGCCATCTGCAATGGAATGATTCTGTGGCTGCAAAACAGGAGGTGAGTGCTGAACAATATCATGAACATCATTATCAACAATTTCAGTTTCCTGATCATCTACGTGCTCCACCTGCACGCTAATATGTTCCTGCTCCTCATCAGAAACAACTGGAGAGACATCTGTGGGCAAGTTGGTATTAAACATAACAGATAGGCAATAGAAATGAAGACCCTCCCGGCGACGGGCCTCGCTTCGCTCCGTCAGAAGTTAGCCTTTATCTTGTATAACTGAATTTGGATCACAACTCAACATATCAAAGATGACTGCTCGGTCGTGCTAGACCTTATGACGCGTTTTCATCTGCCGGCCTTATTCACTTAGGCCCTGTTTAGTTCCAAACAGTTTTCACGCTTCGACCCAAGCCTCCCGGCGACGGGCCTCGCTTCGCTCCGTCAGAAGTTAGCCTTTATCTTGTATAACTGAATTTGGATCACAACTCAACGTATCAAAGATGACTACTCGGTCGTGCTAGACCTTACGACGCATTTTCGTCTGCCGGCCTTATTCACTTAGGCCCTGTTTAGTTCCAAACAGTTTTCACGAAAAACTACAGTAACAAATCTTGCGGCACATGCACGGAGTACTAAATGTAGACGAAATAAAAAACTAATTGCACAGTTTGCGTGTAAATTGCTGAGACGAACGTTTTAAGGCTAATCAGTCCGTGATTCGACACTAAAGTGCTACAGTAATAAATTTGCTAATGATGGCTTAATTAAGATTTAATAAATTCGTCTCGTAGTTTTCAGACGTGTTATATAATTAGTTTTAAAACTTTTCGGAAAACAACTAAACGGGGCCTTAATCGCGAAATAGCTCTAGATCCACTGTCAACCTAGCTAGCAGCTAGCAGGTAGCCCTGGAGTTGTGAAATCCCGTGCGGCGCGGCGGGCGGTGGCTCGATCGGCCGGGTGGCCGGCGGCGGCCGGTGCGGGGCCAGGTCGGGGCGGGCGCGCGGAGCTAATTAACTATAGGTCCTCCCGCAGGGCAACGGCTGGGGCCGGGGTTCGCATCCGTCGATCGAGCAATCGGGGTTAAAGGTATTACCCCCGACCGGCCTCTGCTCAAATCTCTGCCTAATGCATTCTGCTGGACTTAACTCTGTGTTTCGCTGCATTCTACCTCTTGCAGATCGACAAATATTGATTTGTTCCCCTCTCTTTAGTATATATCTACAAGTATAAGTCGATTTCTATAATTTTATATCCTAATTTTAAGATGTCAATGCATATTTATAGTTGGGTTATATACCGTTATATTAAACCACTTAGTAGGGAGCTATAATCGTAAATTAACATAGTAATTATATATATATATATATATATATATATATATATATATATATATATATATATATATATTGATGATTTCAGTAGCTAGAACTGTATGCAACTACACACAGGTTATCTATATTTATTTGTTGTAGATGGCTGATGACCGTACATGGATGTATCCCAAGAACCGTATCTGCGATCAGTATTTGAAGGGCCTCAAGTCATTCGTTACAACAGCAGAGGTGGATATGTCGACTAACCGCAACTCTGCTATGTGGTGCCCATGCAAAGATTGTAGGAATAAGTTGAAATTTGAGAGGTCATGTACGGTGCATGCACACTTGATCATTCGTGGTTTCATGGATGTCTATCGATGTTGGAACAATCATGGCGAGGAAGGCATAAACGAGGAAATCGACCTGCAGGACAGCCATATGGATGACAGGTCCTG